CCAAAAATCCCCATTTATAGGAGAATTACTAACAATACATTTTATAGCAATGTGACCAACAATACATTTTATCTGTAATTGAGGGCATACAATTGCATTCAAAATATTTAGAGTTCGGCATTAAATAACTCATAAAGGTTTTGATATGCCGCTAAATAAATTCAACCAACAAATTTTCATTATAGAAATACAATATGGCAGAGGATTGGTCCAATTGACTCAAACTAGACAAGTAAAATCTAAGAAAAGTTGCAGAGGATGAATGTGTATGCGGTGCAGTTATATGCGTCTCGGAATAAGTAATGGAAAAGTTCGAATTCCAGTCGATTTCGTTGCATTCACTTTTGTAATTTTTGAAAGGATTTTTATCCGACTTTTCTTATCATAAACTTTATTATCAGTGGGTACACGTGTTACCCTGTTTTGTTTTATATATATATATATATATATATATATATATATATATATATATATATATATATATATATATATATATATATATTATTAAACAGTGAAAATAATAAAAACTGGACTAGATCGAGGAAACCTAACAAAGAAAAACTTCAACCTCCGACAGGAATCGAACCTGCATACATTTTTTTTCCACGTCAGGGAAACCATTTCTTAAGTCGTTTTATATTAATCAGAAGTAATATCGGATAAAAAATTCTTTTAAAAATGACTGTTGTTTACGTTTTGGGTACGAAACTGAAGCTACAAGATATAGATTCGCTAAATTCTCAACGAGAAAAGCATCTTTTTAAACAAGTAATTCTGACTTTGCCCTGTCAGTCAGGCTCTTTGGTCGAACTGGTAAAACCACGTGCCAGCTTAAGAAGCTTAAGGATGGTTGTTAATTAACTTCACTGTCTAATAAAATAAAAAAAACAAGGGTAACAACTCAATCATGTGTACCCACTAAAAATAACGTTTATAGTAGAAATTCATTTTTTGTGCAAATACCCTTAGAAAAATCAAAGAATCCGTCTCTTCTCTTCCGAGAACTGACCGAAGACGTCCAGTAGTTTGATCATCTACGACAGTGTTTGTGTTGTGTTTGTTTGGTAATTGCGATATTTGCTTATAGCACACTGATGCCAGTGTCTACTACTTGGGCCAATGTAAAAAATAAGAACTTTGAAGACAGATTGTTCCCTAGCAGACAGGCCCTTTTTACTTTTCATGTTAATACATCATTTTTTTTCTACTCCCCTTTTGCCGGACTAAAAAATTTTCAATAAATCAATCAATCTCTCTCTCTCTCTCTCTCTCTCTCTCTCTCTCTCTCTCTCTCTCTCTCTCTCTCTCGTTAAAACACTTAAGTATGTTAAACAAAACAATTGAGTAACCTTTTCGGATTTGAAAATCTAATTAACGGTAGAATATTTAATTAAATAAAAAAAAAATTGCATAATTATAAGGGAGAAAAAGGGCAAACGACAACTACGGTAGTTGACAATAGGAAATCAGAAGATAGAAAGAAAAGAAAACAAGAGACAGACAAAAATTCTACAGAGCAAGACAACCGGTTATCGCTCCTCACTCGTCAGAACTCGATCAAAGAATATAAAATTTGAATAATAAATGAACATTCACAAGACGCATCAAAGACTAGAGAAGCAGAAGTAAACTGCAGGTAATCTAATTGGCAAGTTTGAGCAAATAAATGGATGAACAGTAAACAGTAACTCCTTAGATTACGTCAGTCTCGACCTACGACGATTCGTCGTTACGACACAGTCTCCATAAATCCTGTTTCGATTTACGCCGTTTGACTTGTATAAACCCGGCTAATTTTTACTTATATAGCCACATGTATAAAAACTACCAATCTTTAACTATAAACACAAGTATAAACTTGATCGGTGTTTTCACATATAGACTCAAGTATTAAAACAACCAATATTTACCTAAAGGCGTAAGTATAAACCCGACAAATTTTTACCTATAGACACAAGTATAACCCCTACTAATGTCTACCTATAACGAGCTAGGAATACAAGTGACCAATACACAGAATCAATTTTAAATACTACAAATGTTTACCTACATAAACACAATTTTCTTGAAACTTCGAATGTAAACGTCGTCTCTCTTGAACTCTGAATGACACAAATTATAATAGCGTTAGCACGGATACACGGGAAACATGATTTACCAGTGAAAATCAAACAACACAAAAGTAAAAATACCCGAATTTCTTTCTTCTTTTTCGCCATATCACATTCTCTGATGAAGCTTTAATATTTTAAATATAAAATAAATTTAAATTATTTAATATTTTTTATTTGTTCTTTATCTTGTCTTAGACTCAGTTATAAAACCAAGAAATGATGCAGGCATTGGTTTCGGATTTTATAATAACCGCTGTTTATTTTTTGGCGGACGTTTTCTGTTAACATGCAAACTTAAATTATAAAGTATAAATTCGACCAATTTTTAATTATATAGCCACAAGTATAAAAACGACTAATTTTTAACTATTAACATAAGTACAAACTTGACCTGTGCTTTCATATATAGACTCAAGTATTAAAACAACCAATATTTACCTATTGGCGTAAGTATAAACCCAACCAATCTTTATCTATAGACACAAGTATAACTCCTACTAATGTCTACCTATAACGAGGCAGGTATATAAGTGACCAATGTTTACATACACAGGATCAATTTTAAATACTACAAATGTTTACCTGCATAGACACAATTTTCTTGAAACTTTGGATGTAACGTCGTCTCTCCTTGAACTCTGAATGACACAAATTATAATAGCGTTAGCCTATAGAGTTGAATGCACGGGAAACATGATTTACCAGTGAAAATCAAACAACACAAAAGTAAAAATACCAGAATTTCTTTCTTCTTTTTCGCCATATCTCGTTCTCTGATGAAGCTTTAATATTTTAAATATAAAATAAATTTAAATTATTTATTATTTCTATTTGATCTTTATCTTATCTTAGACACAATTATAAACTCGAGCAATGATTTTGGGATTGGTTTCGGATTTTATAATAACCGCTGTTTATTTTTTGGCGAACGTTTTCTGTTAACCTGCAAACTTCATTTTTTATCAAGTAACAATGCGATGCCAAAAATGAAAGGTTCGCATTTCTGGTTAAAAGACTGTTGCAGATGGTGGAATGTTATGTTCCGTTCCCATGAGTAACCATCCAGCTAAGTCGAATGGTGCAGCTGAAGAATACCTTAAAACATGTACATATGTGTATACATATTGAGTTTTCTTGGAAGAGATAAGGGCATTTCCTTGTTAAGCTACGAGTTTGTGAATTCCCGAAAAAATAGAAAAAAAAACACGCAGGTTTGTTTTTCTTTCTTCCCCAGATTTACTGCTGCTTCCAATTACTGCAACAGAAAGCAACAGAGATAAGACTTTATGCTTCGTCATTTCATCTACCGAGAGCCAATGACATCACTGGCAATAAATATACAAGCCGCTTAAAACTATTTCTTTTTATTGTATGTATTATATTTATGTCCTCCGTCTGTTGTTTCTTTATGTTAATATATGTCATAGAAATGTATTGTTATGTCCTAGATTATTACTTTACTACTGCATTTGCATAGGTGAGTGTCGTAAGTTCTTATTCACGAAGAATCGCCTTACGACGCATCGTAAGAACGGAACTCTGTCATAAATCTGTATACTATAATAGTGCCGATTCTCTGTCTATTACACACTGTTTACGTGTGACTTAGCGTGTGCTTATGTAACGATGGCTTCTAAATTATATACAAGAATTAGTTATGTGCCATGCGTGATACACGCTTAGGTGATCATGTATCTTTCGATACTTGATAGACATGGCAGATTTTACCCGCAGTAGGTTGCCAACTCTTTCTGCGGTAGATCAGTTGCCATCCAAGGCTACAGAACCCGGTCTGTCCTGCTATTTATCCATAGCTGGGAGAAGAAGAAGAGGTTTCACACCTTTCCCAAGGGTATAAGCACGTAGGTGAATGTAATGGAATCGACTGGAATTCGAACCCGGCTCTCCGATTCCTCAGTTTGACTAAGTTTGAAATAAATATCAGTCAGTTATGTAACATGCGTGATACACGCTTAGGTGATCATGTGTCTTTCAATACATGACTGACGAGGCAGATATTTTTCCCGCAGTAGGTGGCCATTTCTTTCTGCGGTAGACCAGTTGCCATGCAAGGCTATAGAACCAGGTCACTCCTGCTATTTACCCATAGCTGGGGGAAGAAAAAGAGGATTCATACCTTTCCATGCGTATTAGCACGTAAGTGAATGTAATGGAATTGACTGGGATTCGAACTCGGCTCTCCGATTCCTCAGTTCTCAGTTTAACTAAGTTTGAAATAAAATAGCGGAAAAATACATTCCCTTCCCACTTTGTTTGAATAACCTCTCCCCCGGGATGAGCAATAACATGATAAAAACTGAAGAAAAGAAAAATCTTCAGTTTCTAAACCCTAAAAAATCAGATAATTTTATTGACCTTTTGATAAATTATTTAGTAGTAAATAATTATTTTTCAAGATTTTTTGTTTGCCTTTTTAGAAACTTTGTCATTGAATTAAAATATACAGTTGCACACGCAAACTTATATACACACTATTTGAATGAAATTAAAATTAACATCTGTGTCACAAGGGTTAAATTCCCATTCTATCTGGCAACAACCCTGAGTAACAGGAAAAGCGTACAAACCAAAATATGTGGCTCTTTGGAATCAGTTTGCTATTAGGTTGGTGCAAAAATAATGACGTAATAATGTCGTTTTTTGACCTTAAAAAATACGTCAAAAAACGACATTATTACGTCATTATTTTTGCACCAGCCTAATAATTTCTTCTGTACTTAAAATGAACATGTTTTCTAACCATTGTATTATTTTAAATAGACGATCATTTCAGTTGAAATCTGAGCATCTTGATGTCAGCAAAGTGACAGGTAACGAATAAATTAATGCAAGGACCAGGAGATGTTGTAAATGGACAAAATATACTAAAGGCAACCGAGAAGGAAGCTGTGAAAAGTGTTGATTGCCCCACGCTCCGAAGGAACATATGTTAAAAAGAAACACCGAGAGAGAGAGAGAGGGAGAGAGAGAGAGAGAGATTATATCAGGTAGCAGATAGAACCAAAAGAATTCGTTTAATGAACACAGCAGGTGACAGAAGAGGAATAATTTAAAACATGTTTGCAAAAACAAGTCCCCAGACATCGTTGGTTGCAGGGCAAAAATGTCAAAACTTTTGCGTTTTGTAATCAAACTCTTATCAGAAAATTGCTTTGGCTCACTTAATTTGTAAAGTGTTCCGGACAAAATGAGACATTGTAAAAAAAAATTGTATCGAAGAATACGAAAAACATAGAAATCTAAAGAAAATACTTTGTCTATTTATATCTTGCTCACACCAAAACCATTAATGACTGTATCTTACTATAGACATAAAGTTACAAGAAGTCATTATCAAAACCTGACTATCAAGCAAATTACCTAAGTATGTACTTATAAAAGTATATAGATAGATAGATAGATAGATAATGAACAACCTCAGATAAATACATAATGAAAACAGATAGATAGATAAATAGATAATGAACAACCTCAAATAAATACTTAGGTAAATACTGAACAGACTGAGATAAATACATGATGAAAATATTTTGATAGATACATACATACATGCACAGATATATACATACATACTGAACAGACGCAGATAAACACATAATGATAGATACATACATATATACATACTGAATAGATGCAGATGAATACATAATGAAAATATTTTGATAGGTAGACAGACAGAATCTGAACAAACTCAGATAAATATATAATAAAGAAGATAGATAGATAGATAGATAGATAGATAGATAGATAGATAGATAGATAGACAATGAACAGATTCAGATAAATACATAATGAAAAACTTAGGGAATACTTACTTACTACTCCCTATAAAGAACGATAACTCATAATATAATGAGTTACGTCCCCTGTTCTCTAGTTGGACCGCGGCACTTCTAAATTCAACATCGTGATAAGCTGACACGTACGTGGAAGTCATGGTTCAAATCCAAACAAATCCTTGCTGTTCTCAGTAAATGAAATAAAGTTATTTTATTATGTGTTAAAATACACTTGTCTTTCATTTTAATTCGTTTTTGTTCATCCCAACATCCTGGGGTATAATAGATAGATAGATAGATAGATAGATAGATAGATAGATAGATAGATAGATAGATAGATAGATAGATAGATAAACAGAATAAGATAAATAAATAATAAAAAGACTTAGATGCGATAAATACATAATGAAAAGAGATAGATAGATAGATAGATAGATAGATAGATAGATAGATAGATAGATACCCTTGCCTATTTATATCAATTTGCGCAAGTCTATTACCCTGCATTCTTCAACCTTAACACGCTTCGTACCTTAAGATTTCGATTTAATCAGACCACCGGAAAAATTTATAGTAAGAAAGAAATCTGTTTAAAATTATAAGAATTCTTTTTTCCGTCTCGAATCCGAGATCCTTTCAACAAGAAATAAAACTATTAATTTCGTAGTAGACTGCTTCTTCAACTACTACTAATAATAATGATAATAATAATGAATTTAATCATAACAATAAATGGCCTGATGCTGCACCAGACATGGTTCTCATGGCTTCTGATTTTAATTGATTCGAACTGTTAACATGTATATATTTTCTTCTGATGAATTAAATAACAGTAAATCATCCCCGTTCAGTACCACAGATTTGAGTGTTCGGTTACCTGAACTTAATTGATCTGATGCACTGTACAAACGTACATCTCTGTTCACGAGAGGTTTTCGAGACAGTGTTTGTTTTTAATTTGAAGGATAAGACAACCAGTGTGATTAGGGAAGCATATCTAAGTATTTAACATCACCCTCAGTCGTAGAAGGTTACTCAACCTGAAGTCTAACTGGACCCCACCTGCAAGGTTATGCACTACTTTTATCAAAATCCCTCACTATATTGCACACATTTGCCTTTGGGGCGTGTGTTCGGTATACCTATATCAGGCTGATTGTCATTATGGCTTTATAGGTCTTCGTATATTTGTATAGCAGTATCACAATTTTTGTGTACTGCCCCTCCTCGTTCGTTAATAATAATAATAATAATAATAATAATAAAAGAAGAAAATGGAGTTTCAAATGGGTGCAGAAATACAAGTAAAGCACAGTACACCGACTGAAGCTGCAAAATACTTAAAAAAAGAAAGCAAAAGCAAATGCAACCGACCAGATACAAAAACGATGGCAAGATAAACCACTTCATGGTCAATACTCTGTCCGTACCAAACAAATTGATGTAGTGCGGGGTTAAAAGCTGAAACCAAAGGTTTTATCCTTGCTGCACAGGACCAATGCTTGTTAACTAGAAATTATCAAGCACACATACTAGAATATTATGTTAGCCCAAAATGCAGATTCTGTGATAAATATCCAGAAACAATTGATCATCTTGTATCAGGTTGCACGGTATTGACACCCACTGAATATAAAACCCGGCATGACAGAGTGGGCCAATATCTGCACTGGAAGGAAACTGAATAAAATTGGTATGAACACCACTCATACCCGGTTACGGAGATAAGACCTGTTACAATTTTATGGGGCTACACAATACACACTGACAGAACAATCAAAGCTAACTACCCAGACATTGTTATTAGGGACCCCCTTATTGATATGGCAGTCCCTGCAGACTGAAATGTATCTTTGAAGATCTTCAAAAAGCTATAAAAATACAAGTTAGAGTTTGAGTCCTCCGACTGGTTGGAAAAGATTCAAGTAGACACATTGAAGGGATTCCTGGAATCCCATGCCTTAAATAAATATAAAATATTGTTCTCGCGAGTACAGCTCACACCTTAGGAAGGGCTTTATCTATGTAAAATATATGTTTGTTTGTTTTTTTAATTGGTCAGTGGAAAATGTCATGATGTCATTTCTAACCTTAGAAAGAAAATGTGTACACACCAGAAATCACAGGAAATAAAATAATCATTATCTGGAGTAATGGATAGCGGTTCGGATTGAAGAATCGGAGAGCCGAGTTCGAATTCCAGTCGAATCCATTACATTCACTTACCTATTAATACCCTTGGGAAAGGTATGAATTCTCTTCTTCATCTCCCAGCTATGGGTAAATAGCAGAACAGACCGGATGGCAACTGGTCTACTGCAGAAAGAAATGGCAATCTACTTTGCGAAAAGAAATCTGCCTCGACAGTTATGTATCAAAAGATACATGATCGCCTAAGTGTGTATCACTGACTGAATAATTTTATGGGACTTTAAAATACACACGGAGAGAACAATCAAAGCTAATTGCTCAGACATCATGATCAAGGACCACAAGAACAGAATGTGCTTTCTTATTGATATGGCAATACCTGCAGATTGTAATGTATCTTTGAAGATCTTCAAAAATCTATCAAAATACAATCTTCAAGTGAAAATCTTAAAACTGTGACACATAAGGACATCAATAATTCAAGTTATAGTTGAAGGCCTTATTGGAAAGGGTTCCGATAGACTCCTTGAAGGGACTCCTGGTTGTCTACGGCTTAAAGAAATACAAAGGAAATTGTACTCACAAGTACAGCTCACACATTACGATGAGTTTTAGCTATGTAAAATGTGTATAATCTTAGTTATATATTACAAAAATAATAATAATCAGTGGAAAATATCATGCAGCCATTTTTGAATTTAGGTCTCTACTTGGGACCCGGAAGGAAATGTGCGTACAACAAAAATCAAAGATAATAATAATAATAATAATAATAATAATAATAATAAACATAATTGGATTGATAAGAGAATTCTTTGGGAAGTATGTCGTCAATTTGGCTACAGTGTAAAAGAGAAGTGATATTAACATCAGTCAAAGGCAGTTGTAGAAAGTGACAGTCACTAGCTATGAGAGGATTCCTCAGTTCAGATAAATCATATCATCGAAGCACGAAATCTCGACCTTTTTGTTATAGATAAGGAGAAAAAACAGAAAGTGTTTGCTATTGCATATGTACAACTAATTCCTATAGTAATGGGTGGGCTTCGAACACCACCTAGAAAATTGAAAAAGGCGATTAGAGAGAATTAAAGATTTTAGACTTCCAGAAACCTGCTATCATTTACTCTGCAAGGATTCCCCGAAATCACATAGAGTTGTAAGACAATGCATGAAGAAGAGAATTTACGTTACGTCAATGTGTGACACTAACATAATAATAATAATAAAATAATTGAAACAAATTCCTTGAGGCACTAAATGATATGAATTGCAAAGAATCATACTCATGGGTACTTCTCACGTCTTGCGTAGATTTCAATCTATGTGGTGATAGCTATTACATTTTTCTCTCAAATTCCATGATACCGCATGATACCGAAGAAGAAGAAATTTTATTCACAACTACAGCGTACAGCTTACGAAGGGTTTTATTTATGCAAAATTTGTGTGATCTTGGGTTTTTGGGGAGGAGTTTTTTCTCAGAAAATGTTCAGTGGGAAATGTCATGATACCATTCTTGACTTTAGGTGGGGGCCCGGAAAGAAATAAGTATACACCAGAAATCAAATAATAATAATAATAATAATAATAATAATAATGATGATGATGATGATGATGAGAAGAAGAAGAAGAAGAAGAAGAAGAAGAAGAAGAAGAAGAAGAAAAAGAAAATAAAAAGAACTGCAACCAGAAGTGGTGAATCAACAGAACATGAAAGGGAACCTGAAATGGACATAAAAAGAACTAACATCACACATACCAAAGATGATAATGAAAAAAACTGAGATACACACCAATGATTGAGAAGATAATGTTGTAAGTTTAGAAGAGGAGGAAAGGTGTCATCTTAGTTGCTTACAAACCTGCGATAAAACGAGTCCTAAACATACGGAACTGAATTATTTGAGGAACGAAAATAACTCCCAAAATTACAACCAACAAAGTATAACCTCAAAACTATTAAACTCTACAATGCAACACTGAGGTTAATTCTGGATGAAGTAGGTCCACATATAAGCAATATATGCATCAGAAATAGTAACAACTAAAACAATAAATACCAAATTAAAAAAGCAGTCTCACAGATATGAAAATCTACCTTAGAAAAGAAAAATAAAGAATAAAGAAGTATAAAGACCTGGAGATATAAATAGAAAAAAAATTGGAGATTGAAAACCAAAATAGTACCAAAGTAGGTGCTTGGAATGATAAAACAAGGAACACAACAATAAATTGAGAAAAAAAATCCCTGGAAATCCCAGCTTAAGAGAAATAAAAAAAATGTCAATTACCACAAACAATTGCCACAAACAATTGCCACACACAAAGAACTTTCGAAACGTCCCGTGAGTGTCAAATTTTCTAATCCTTCTTTCCCCATTACGTGTTCCCAAAATTTCAACTCTTTCTTATTTTAAGTGTCATTTTTGTTTCCATTTTCCGCTTACGACCATATCACGTTGAAACATCGGTTCTTGTACGATCACAGAAGTTAAGCAACGTCGAGCCTGGTCCATACATAGATGGCGGAATACCAGGTACAGTAAGCTTGAATGTGCGGGTGGTTTAATAGACAACATCTCAGAATAAGGAGATCGGAGAACCGTGTTCCAATTCCTGTAGGGTTCGTCATATTCATTTATGCAAAATACCCTTGGTAAAGATATGAATCAACCTCTTCTTGCCCCTCAGCTATGGATTAATTCGTAAAATCTATCAGTAAATCATTATTATCTCCTAAAGAATCTTACAATTTAAAAATATTTTCTTGTTTTAAATAACCTGCAAAAGATTGATAAGCCGTAGAACACAAATCAATCATGTTTCCATTTACTTTAAAACATCACCTTTGCTTACGCGCTCCGTCCATTATCCATCTATCTATATATGTGTATATCTATCTCGCTTTGTTTACAGCCACCCAATTCTCATCGGACATTTCAGCATCCTTTCTGCGCTAAAAGAAATTGTCATTATTGCGTAGGTTAGCGATTTCCACTGTTCCCGTCGACTCTGACTGCTTTTGTTCGTGGCATATGATCTCTCGGGCTTAAGGCGAGACTTGTCCGTGCAGGTTCCGATGAATGGCCATTTTTAATTAACTATGTCTTGCCCAGAGGTTCATTCCCAATCACTGACTTGATTTTCATGTCCTTTAAAAACTGGTTTCAAGGCTTGCCGTTCTTTCAACAGGGCTATTTCTCTTAAATACGGAGATATTAATACTTTCGCTATACACTGAAGCTTAATTCTTCGTACCCGAAGGATAGACAGGAAGTCGTGCACACAAACGGTTATTTGAATAGAAAATTTACAAGATCGGTCGGGATATTTTTTTATCACTTTCTCAATAA